GGCAGAACCACAGGGACGGGCTCAGGCGGTGGGCTGGGGCTCATGCTCGATAGGCTTGAAAGGCTCGACGACGAAGAGAGCGCGGGGGGCGAGAGGGAGAGCGAGAGCGAGGTGCCGCTGGTGCCGCTGCTCCGCCCGCTTGTGCGCTCCTCTTCTGCACCACCGTCACCCTCGCCCTCCGCGTCCGCGTCCTCGAGGTCGTCGTCCCCCGACTCCATGTCGACGTCGGCGTCAACGTCCACGTCGGCATCAGTGTCGCCATCCTCCCCGCCTTCCTCCCCCTCGTCGTCATCCGCATCGTCGTCCTCCCTCGACGGCGCCCGCCCTGAATACGCGTAGGCACTCCTCGTGCGCTTCGCAACGCTCTCGCTCTCGCTCCCCGCACTCCCACTACTCTCGTCAAAACTCCGCTTCGGGCTGCGCTGGACCCTGCCCACTCCTGCGCCTCCACTGCTTCCACTCCCACTCGCACCCGGACTGGCCTCCACCCGCCGACTCGACCGCAACCGCCCCACAGCCGACTCCGACTTGAGCCTCGACGCCGACGTGGGCAGGGACGGCGACAACGGTTTCGTCGGCGACGCACTGGACAGCTTCAGCCGCACCTTCGGCAACACTGCGCGTTTCTTCCCTTCATCAGCGTGCGTCTTGCTGTCCCCCACGTAGTCCGCGTCGTCGTCGTTCTCCTTCGCACGTTGTTTATTCTTCCGCGCGAGCTCGACCATGCGTTTCCGCTCCTTCGCGTCCGCTTTGCTCTGCTTGGGATTTGCATGATGGGGCGGCTCGGAGGTGGTGGGCGACACGGGGTACGGATAGGGCGGTGTCTCACGCACGGCGGGGAGGCCTGTGTGAGGTCCCTTGAGATTGCGAATGGAGGAGAAGTGCTCCCAGTCGTGATATCTAGAGAATGAATGTAGGTTAGCGGCGGCGGAAGACAGGGAGGCGATGGAGACAAGAAAAGAGAGGGAGAGCAGGAGCAATAACCACGAAGGACAGCGAGATGAATGGAGGGAGAAAGGAAGGGGGTACGTCAAAGAGGGCGAGAATATTGGGAGGATAAATATTGGGAGGATGTGGGAAAGGACCGGGAGGGGGGGGAGGAGGCTGTGTCTGCGGGGACGATGGAGGAACAGGGATAACACAGGTGTGGAGGGGGAAGGGGACGAAAGAGGCTATATGAGTAATCGGTAAAGGGATGCGTGATACGAGGGACGGAAGGATGGAGGGTGAGGCTGTATTCAAAGATAGGGGATGAAGGGAAAGGATGGATCGGTATAGAAAAAGGGTGCGGAAGTGGAAGGGAGGGGAGGGGGGAAAGGGAAAGAGAGAATGGGAAGAACGTATGGAAGGGTCGAGCAGAGGGAAGTGGGGTGAGGAGGTGGAGAACAAGAAGATGTATGGATACGTGGAAGGATGGGGACGCGGGAAGGGAAAGGGTCTCGAGGATGTTCGATGGTCACCGGCTAGGGGAGAAAGAGAGCGAAGAGAACCAAAACGGCTCCCCCCAACACTAGGCCCAACGCCCACGAATCAGCACCACGGCACGCAAGCACCAACGCCGACTCGATAGGACTGCTCCCCATCCTGCCCCCCCCCTCTCTCTCTCCCAAAAAAAAACACAGAAACACTCACGCAACGTATATCGTCCCTTCCTCCACCTCCTGAGCCCCCGCCTCTACCTCCTGCTCCTGCACCGCCTCCTGCACTCCCGCCTCTGCCTCCGCATGCTCCTCCACCTCAGCCTCCGCCTTGTCATCCGCATCGACATCAATAACTTCCACGTCATCCCGCCGGATCCGCCCACCCGCGCCCGATGTCGATGGAACCCCACCCGATGCAGATGCAGTCGGCGAGGTGGCAGGTCCAGCGACGGACGGCGCGAGGGACGAGAGGCTCGACAGGCTCGAGGAGGACGCTGATGCCGAGCGGGTCGCGTGGTTTGCGAGGGTGCTTAGGGTGCCTGTGGGAGGGGTGTTAGTCAGTTAAATGGTTCGTTGGTTGGGGCAGGGGGGGAAGGGGGGCGAAGAGGGGGTGATGGAGGGAGGGGGGAGAGGGCGTGCGGGAAGGAGAAGGGAGGGGGTGGGAGGGAGGTTGCAGGGGAGGGGAGGTAGATGGGAGGAGATGGAGCGGGGGGTGGAAGCGTACGCGAACGAGGAGGATGGGGAGGGGAACAGGAAGAACGGTGAGTACAGTAGGTAAAGCTGGGGGATGTTCGGCGGAAGCGTTTAGCTGAGAAGGGGGGAAGGGGGGATGGGGTGGGAGGGCGAGAGGGCGAGGATGGGGAGGGGAGGGGGGATGAGGGGTAGGGAGGGGAGGTGGAAGGAGGAGGGAGTGAATAAGCGTTCTGGAGTGGAACAGGAAGAACAAGAGTAGCGAATCATGTCTCCCCACACATTCGAGCCACAGCGAACATACACCAAGGAACCTACTCACCCGCACCCGCACCCGCCGCACCCGCACCCACCCCACTCCCACCCGCACCACCTCCGCCCGCCCCACTCCCAGACGCACTCCCAGACGCCCCCGACCCGCCCGACCCGCCCGCGGCCCACTCAATGACATAGACGAGCCCCGGCTGGATGACCTTGACGTTGCGCCGCGTGAGGTGGGCGAAGGCGGAGAGCTCCATGTGGCCGCCGTAGGTCGCTGTTGGGAGAAGAAGGAGGTGAGCGGTGTGAGCGAGAGGAGGTGAGGATGAGGGGGAGGGATGTGGAAGACGCAAAGATGTAGGCACTCAGCCGTCACTGCACTCAGCGGGTGTACGCCGTACACAGAGCGGTGCGACGAGTCCAAAATAAAGAGAAAAGAAAGCAGGAAACGCCGCGGACGCCCAAGTGCGAGTTGGCTAGCCCCTAAGTGACGAAGGGAAGGAAGGTGGAACAAAGGCACGACGGGGAAGGACGCCAGTCGAGACGTCCAGCGTACGATGTCCGTCGTGGGGTGCAATGACCACGCATGCGGGAGGGGAGGGGAGCGAGCACCCATCGAAGGACAGAACAATGCCGCCATCCACTCTAGCGACGCACACAAGACGATGAAGCGGCCCCAGCCCAGTAGCGCATAATCGAATCGTGCGACGGGTGGCTGCTTCTTCAAGGAACCACCGATACCCACGCAACGCCTCGTATCGCTCCCGTAGATCGGAGCGGTCACGCATTCGCGACGCCTGAGTGAGGGAGGTCTGCGACACGCGCACCGAGCGGTGCATGTAGGCGCTCAGCCGTCCCGGAGGAAAGCTGCAGCCAGGGATAGCGTGAAATCAAAAAAGAAAGAAAAGCAGGAAACGTCGCGGACACCAGGACGCGCAAGAAGTGCGAGCTGCCCCCTGAGTGAGGAAGGTACTGCACGAAGGTCCAAGCGAAGAGCAGGGGAAGGGGAAGCCGGGCAAGACGCCCAGCGTCGTGGGGTGCATTCAGCACGCATGCATACATGCATACACGGGAGCGGTGAGGAGCGAGCAGCACCCTGCGAAAAACAGACAACACCGTCATGGACTCGAGCAAAGCGCATAACCGAATCAAACAATCGCGCACGCTGGCTGCTTCCCCACAGAACCACCGCAAAACGATAGACAGATGTTAAGCACCGCCCACGCCCACACAGAACGCCTCGTGTCCCGCGTAGATGGGAGCGGTCACGCAGTCGCGCTTCCATGGCGCGATAGCTGGGTGAGGTCGCGAAGGGGAAGGGGAAGGACGGAGGCCCCTATAAATGATCCAAAGAAAGGAAAGGAAGGAAAAGCAAAGAAAGCGAGCAAGACAACGGCGCGGTCACGCTCCGTGTACCCCGTCCCGTACACGCGCACAAACGGCTCGCGCGAGCGCCTATCCGCGGTACCGCCCGGGCAAAAAGACGGAGAAATCACAATGCCCGAAAAGGGAAAAACGAGGAAGGACGCAAAAAAAGGGGCACAGAAAAACGCAAAACAAAGGGGCAAAGAGGGATGGTTGGTCCTGGGGAGAGCGCAGGAGGCCAGAGAGGCCCCGGACCAAACCAACGGCGCGGGAGACAAAGCCCGACTCCACCCGAGTGGCACCCCAACCGCAAAACAAAGGAAAAAACGCAAAACAAAGGAAAAAACCTTTCAAAAGAAAAAAGAACGGCACTCAAAAGAACGCCACCCACCATTCTCGCGCATACACCTCAAATGCACCTCCAGCCCCCGTTCATCCTCCACAAACGGCTCATACCTGCCCTTATGGCCCGCGATCCAGTCGCACACGTCGCGCCGGAGCTGCGGGTGCCTCGCCGGCGAGCCGTACAGCTGGTCGCTGAGGGCGCGGAAGAGGCAGTTGCCGTCGCCGATGGTGGGCGCGGCGTACAGCCCGAGCGAGCGCAGCTGCTCCGTCAGCAGCGCTGTGTTCTCCATGGGATCCGAGAGGAGCTGTTGCGCATTAGCCTTCCCTTGCCTCCGTCTGCTAGGCACGGCCACAGGGACTCACCCTCGCCTTACTCGAGCGCGTCGTCCTCGGGCGCACTGCACACCATCAATATAATTGAGGAATCCCCTGCCACCGAGCAAGAGGAAGGCACTCACACTGACTCTGCTGCGCCTTCTTCGAGCTCTTCTTGTGCGGCGCCATCCCTTGTCTCGTCCGAAAATTCTAATTCTAGGGGGTGCTAAGGTGGGGCGGTCGTCGTGGTGCAGAAGAGCGGAGTTTGAATCGGAGATTTCCTTGATGGCTGTGCCGTATTTCCGGCCCGGGCCGCGGCGCTTGTTCAGGGCGCTTCCGGACAAGTGTAGGCTAAGTAAGGTAGACTGCGCAAGTGCTGTATGGGCGCGCGAATGCCTTGAAACCTGGCGCGCGTGGCTGGAGGGTTTGGCTATAAAGGGGCTAATGTGGAGCTGTTCTTCTGCGAATGATCTCATCAATCACCGCGCATCAGAGATGGCGTCTTTTGCTTCCTTTTCTTCGGCTTCTGCGGCCAATCTTATCACGTCCCCGTTCACGAAGCAAAAAGGGAAAGGGAATAAAAGGAAACGCCAACACTATATTGTATGACTCGACCCAGAATCGAACTGGGTTTCTCCTGCTTCATTGTTTTATGAGCTAGTATAGAAAACAGGTGCGGACCATCCGCCATCGAGTCGTTCTATGCTTGGTTTCCCATCCTCGGATCGTTCCGGTTCTTCATCTTGTCAATCAAAGCTGGCATGAGTTTGAAGTGAGATTCAGAATCTGCGATAGATGCTCCCTAAAAACTGAATCTTTGATACGGTCAGTTCATGGACCATTGGCCAGAAATGTGATATAGAATCTGCCCTAGTTGCCCACGAAATTCTTGGTTCAACTTCAACTCCGGGATGTGTACAATATTCGAACTTACCTATCTCATCTAGCTTGGTTTGGGGGCGAAGTACATACGTATTAGGAAATTTCCTGATGGGCTCCGAGAAGCGGTGCCGCCGGATTATCCCGACCGAGCCAGGATTCACTCGTTCGTTTGTTGCTCAAACCGCGCTGAAAAATCTTCAACTCAGTTGTGAACACTGATAAGACCAACCCGGAAACTTCACGAAGCAGTAATTTAAAAAAAAGAATCCACCGTTGAAACGCTGACTATGGGTCTATAGGTGAAATATGCCAATTAACAGGTCAAGCAAGTACGCTTGAGAAGTAATTAACACACAGCACACACAACACTCAACAATCGACGTGCGAGGTTCGGGGTTCTAGTCCAGTATAGACTATGGCAATTTGATCTTTAGTTCTGATTTGTAGCAACTTTAATGCATAGACAAATGCAATGAACTATCAAGACTTTACTAGACACTTTACAGTGTTCCAGAAAGGCAGGAAGTTGGGTTTTTATAACTAGTGGGTTGTTGGATGGTTTTGGAGTAGTCTCCGTTGAGTCCGATTCAAGTTATAACTGATATCCTTCAAGCAAAATAGCTATCACGATAGGTCTTAGGCCAATGAAAGCACTAAAAGCCGTTCTGTGTTCTGAGATTCACAAATCTGTTTCCACGCGTCCGTTATCCGTTTCCTTATAACCACGCGTAAAACCAATAAGATCACAACAAAACAATGATAATTCTGCAAGAAGAATACAAATGAAACTTTATAGGTCTCTAGGTGATTCTCCAAGTGCTCCAAACTTAGTACAGTTACACACGAAGCTGGTTATGTTCAGCTTAACGCGTACAACTGGACCGGTGGATATACACTGGCGTACCTAGAGAATTTACAGGCTTTTTATACTAATTCTGAAACTATAAATAAGTGACACGTTTACAATCATGATAGCTGAATAATGGTAGCGTAAGCTCCCCTACGTTCTCTAATCGATTAAACTGAATAGAAAACCACGGATTCTGCTGCGCTGAATATGCCCTCTCTGCATATGATAATGATGATTACGAATTTTGACATTAGATGTCAAATCTTATTTTTAGACTTCCTCATACAAAGTCATGATGACTCTACCTCGAGTCATGATCCTTATCGCGCCTCTTGGCGTCGCGGATCCTCTGGTCATGGTCTTGACACGCTACTGATCATCCGCAGCATCAGTTCGGCTATCGTGTTAGGTTCCGTCCCGCTCCCAGGTATTATCCTGATCGATCACTATATGACTCCAGCGCTTATCTCGCTTCACAACACGTTTAGATGGATAGTGCTGACAATTCACCCTTAGTCAGGGACGCGAGGATACCCCAATCCGTTTCCAGGATGGTTGAGTACCTATCATGATAGCTCCTAGTAGGTCGATTATTGACTCGGTGTCTTTACCAGACACCTCGTACTGCCTATCATAGTAGCCCGCGTGCGTTTGATCCCTTTTAGCCAACTACCCGGGTTGGTATTGACCCTTGCTAAGACATAGCCTTAAGCATTTATTATATGCTTGTAATATTGTGCCAGCATTAATAATTGAAAAATGCTTGGGTGGCCCAATACCCGGCGTATCACCGTTGTATGACTCGACCCAGAATCGAACTGGGATTCTCCTGCTCAATTAGTAGACCTGAGCAGGTCTGTCTATGAATTCTGTCGATAGACAGACCTGTCGATCTGAGTTTAAAATCCCATAACGTGCGGTATACCATAAAAGGCATATTTATAAGCAAGATCAAACCTTTGATGTAACACTAGTAAACAACACGACTTCTTGCTTCCACAGTCGTCCTCTCGCTCGGAAAACCAACAAAAACAACTCTTGTGGATTCGCGAGAAGAAATTGAACATTTTACTGTCTTCAGTTTATCAAATTCGGCCCAGTGTAGAGCGCCTTGTGACAACATTTACTCGCGCACTGATAAGCGACGCCAATTTTGCAACTTAAGTAGAAGACAAAACCCAAATGATGTTTTTATTGAATGTCGTTGTATTCCAAAGTACCTATTTACAAGCAGATTGTCCGGGAGAAGGGACTCGATGCTACACGACTCACACCCGACATTCCTTGCGCTCCTTGCTCAGTCGTCCGACCCGCGTTTCCGCAGCTCAGTTCGCTGCACGTTCCTTCCACGAGTACGACTCCAGGCCTCTGTCGACGCTGATGTGTCCCAGCGCCACGCGCACCCGCGACTCGAGCCGAGCGGTGTGCGAAAAGGAGGTGCACGGCATTCACATTCATCCAACTAGCCTGCACTGCACGCGATCCGTGCTCTCCGTGCGCAGCTCCGCTTTGCCAGCGCCTTGACCCGGTGGGCTAGAGCCCTCTGCGCTGCGCTGCACGATCCACAGGTGTCACGCCCGACAGGGCTGCTGACCACCGATGTACTACACCAGTTGAGGGTACGAGCAATTCGCGTACTCCGCTGCGACATGCTCGAACGACACTCTCAATGTCCCCGCACCGCGGACTCCCAGTTCTGGGAGTGGGGAACGGCGGGCTCCGCAGCTCACGATTACGCAGTAGCGGGGCAAGACGAAGATGGAAGAAAAAAGGTACGGGGCGAAGGGAGTGAATGCAGCAGACACACCTTCTCTCCAGTCTCTTTTCCTTCTCCTTTGTGTTTCCTTCGACGCCGTATTCTATGTCGTGCAGGTAAACCCTCGGTGGCTCGATGAGGAGCGCTCGGAGCGCATGCGGCGACGCGTGCGTACAGCAGGGTGGGTGGTGTGATGGTAGCGGGTGAACAACAACCAGAAAGGTGTGAGCTTGAAAGGAACATGAATCTCAAGTGTAAACTGGCCCTATAATCGACGTATTGGCCACTGGTTCATTCCGCCATTGAAGTAATGCTTCGGGGGCATCGCAGTACTGTGATGTGTCATCCATATCAAAAGAGAGGAATCATCGTTTCATGCAAAAGATCTTGAAGTTTCGGGGGAAGTAGGACCTTAGGGTGGTTCATGAGAAGTAAAACAAGCGAACTGACACTCTTTTGGAGGCCCCGAAGGTGGTAGAAGGTGGGTGGAAGCGAGAAGTCGTGGTGTTTACTAGTGTTACATCAAAGGTTTGATCTTGCTTATAAATATACCATATATGGTATACCGCGCGTTACGGGATTTTAAACTCAGATTGACCAGCCTGTCTATCGACACAACTGATTTTGATACGACAGGCTGGATTCGAGCCTACTCAATTAGCTTTTACCATAACATAGAAAGCAGGCGCAGACCATCCGCTACCGAGTCGTTCCATGCTTGGATTCACGTCAGTTCCTGTCAATCAAAACCGGCATTCCGAGTTTGAAGTCTCAGAACCTGCGATGGGTCCCCCATCGTCTAATTTCTGATACGGTCAGTCCATGAACCTTTGGTCAGCAATGTGATATAGAATCTGCCCTAGTTGCCCACGAAATTCTTGGTTCAACTTCAACTCCGGGATGTGTACATATTCGAACTCATCCTCTCATCTAGCTCCATACGTATCGGGAAATTTCCCTGATGGGCGCCAAGAAGCAGTGCCGCCTGGATTCTTCCGACAGTGTACACGGTGTACCCCGGACCGCAATTCATTTATTTGTTTACCCAACCCGCGCTGTAAAATTTGGCTCAGCTCAGTGCACGTACCAACAATCCAACCCAAAACGCTCACGAAGTAAGAATTTTTTAAAAAAAAAAGAATGCACCGCCAGTCACAGTATGACTCGACCCAGAATCAAACTGGGATTCTCCTGCTGTATTTAATTCATGCAACCTGGCATGGAAAGCAGGCGCAGGCCATCCGCCATCGAGTCGTTCTATGCTTGGGTTCACCTCAGATTCACATTGTTCCAGTTCTTGTCAATCAAACTGGGAAGTAAGACTCAGAATCTGACGAGAATCTGGAATGGGAAGGGCACGAAATTCTTGGTTCAACTCTGGGATGTGTTGAATTTTCGACTTCTCTCTTCCTATCCTCTCACGTATTTCCTATCCTAGATCAGGTTCGTAAGAGTACGCATCAGGAAATTTTCTTGATGGGCACGCCAAGAAGCGGTGCCGCCCGAATTATCCCGATCGAGCCAGGATTCACTTGTTCGTTTGTTGCTCAAACTGCGCTGTAAAGTGTCGACTCAGTTGTAACTCAACCCGGAAAGTTCACGATGGGAGAATTTTCCAAAAGGAACGGAACATTCGTCACGACTCGACCCAGAATCGAACTGTAATTCTCCTGCTTTATTTATTTACAAGCAGACCATAGAAAGCAGGTGCGGGCCATCCGCCACCGAGTCGTTCAAGTCAAGATCTGATCCTCTTCTTGTGTAAATTTCATCACGTCCCAGTTGTTCGTGTATGACGGGCCATGCGTTGCAAAAATGAAATGAGAAAAAAAACTTAGAAAAGTCAAAAAATAAAAATTTGGGGACATGAAAATAAAATTTGAGCGCTCAAAAAATAAATAAAAATTGGGCTGAAAGCTTCAAATACCTCCAGACTGGGTCCATAGCCTCTAGTTGTGTATACAATGCATGTTACTTGAGTAATTGGGGCAGTCTGTTCACTTCTGAGACTGAGGAAGATAGAAAACTTGGTTTTACTTAGTGAATCTCAGGGCCCGGCCTGGCCTGGAAGCCCGGGCTTGGGCCCGGCCTGAGCCGGCCTGGGCTTGAGATTTCTCAGGCCCAAGCCCAAGCCCTGGGGTAGGGCTTGAAGCCCCAAGCCTTGGGCTCAGGCCCGGGCCTCAGTGTACATTTTTTATTTTGTTTCCAAGGGGGTCTGTGTAATGATAATTTATTGGTGAATTAGAAAATGTACAACGGAAGGTTGTTATTCAATTTGTAAGTATCAATATCGTCGATTCACGAAAATATTGACGCGTCTCAACGCATCTTGTCACATCTATTGTCACATTTCGTACTATCTGATGCCGATATTTCAGCAACCTATATACAAAGAACACCGTTATGCCCATTATGAAGTGGAAGCCAGTGCATGCGCTGATCCGAAGCACACATAATCAGTGATTGATGTACCCGGCAGGCGCCGGCACCGAGGCCCGGGCTTCGCGGGCCTGGCGGGCTTCAATTTGCTCAAGCCCAGGCCCTAGGCCCGCTCAAGCCCTGCCGCGGGCCCGGCCTGGCTTGGCAAGCCCAGGGCCTGGCCTCGCGGGCCTGGGGCTTGAAGCCGGGCCAAATAATTCACTAGTTTTACTGTACCGAGCTGTAGGGGAGCAACACGTCGAGGACCGTGACAAGCCTGTTGCCTTTTTTTCAGGCAACGGACCCCTCCGTGATCGTGACTGTTGCCTGAGAAAACAACCACAGAGATTTTTTTCGTAGGTTGTAAGGTTGGTTGGATGTTGTTTTCAGGGTGTTGGAATGCGAATCTGTTATTCCAGTTGTGAGATTGTTTGTTTCCTTTCATTTTGGCCCCACTGACAGATAGAGAATTGCACTGTACGTACCGTATACGGTACGTGACCAAATACGTGAATACGGAGTGACGTACAGATACATACGGCTGCCTCTCGGCGCCCTTCGGCCCTTGACAGTACGTTACGGATCACGTACGTATACGGTACGGTACGGGATATGGCCACCTTCGGGGGCACAAATCAGCTGATGTCGGGGGACAGCATGGTTCAAACGACTGAATTTTACACACACCAGGTGAGTAGAACGACCTCTGAGCCAGGACAGTCACCCACAACCAAGTTCAGGAAGGTTTGCCGAAATACGGCTTGATCCGGAGTTCGTCACGTATACGTACGGCCGTATCGGCAGGCGCAAAAATGGCTGACGGTCCGTGCACCATACGTACGTACGTACCGTATATATCACCGTAACCCCTACGTACGGTGCGATTCCCTACTGACAGAGCACCCGGATTTTTTCACAAGTTTGTCCTGTTTTGTCACGGATCTTTCAAGGCAACCGACCTCATTGTGACCGTGACCCCCAAGCAAAAAGGCAACGCAACGGGTGGCCCGTGACCGTGACCGTTGCTCCCCTACAGCTCGGTACAGTATTCGTCGGATCTCATTCGTAATATAGCACGACACATGTGATGGCCCATCATTCCATCAGTGTTAGCTTCCGAACTTCGATGCCGGAGAGGCTGGCAGATACTTAGCAACTGTAAGCAACATAGCCACCTGTTTGGCTGTAACTTCCTAAGTCAATTTCTGCTCTCTCGAAAAAAAATGGGTAGTGGGGCCTAGAAACTTCCAATAAAGTACTGGAATGAGTCAACACATTCTTTCAAGGACCTCTCTTGTCAAAGGTGAATATCTTCGTGAAATGAGGTCTTGGAGCAAGAAGTTCGCGAGCTATAGGCTTGGATTGATGGAATGATGCGCTATCAATCGTCGATCCTGCAAGGAAAACTGTCTTCCCCAACCCCCGCAAGTGAACAGACTGCTCCAATTACCTCAGTACATGCACAACATACTCAACCAGAAGCTATGGACCAAATTTGAAGGTATTTGCAGCTTTGACCCCAAAAGTTTTTTTTTTCGTGACTGCTCAATTTTTTATTTTTCCAATTTTTTATTTTGTTTTATTTTTGCAACGCATGGCCCGTCATAGTTCGTGAAGCGAAAAAAGGGAATAAATGGAAACACGGAATACTTATGACTCGACCCAGAATCGAACTGGGATTCTCTGCTATATTGAACTACACGCGACTGGACATAGAAAGCAGGCGCAGACCGAGTCATTTATGCTTGGATTAACATGCTCGAATGTTCCAATTCCTGCCAATCAAAACCGGCATTCCGAGTTTGAAGTAAGAATCTGCGATGGATGTAAATTTGTCCGCCCATCGTAAGTAGAATATCTGATACGGCCAGTCCTTGAACTATTGGCCAGAAATGTGAGATAAAATTGATAGGGCAAGAAATCTTTAGTTCAACTCCAGGATGTGTTGAATATTTGATCTTCCTGTCCTCTCATCTAGCCGGTTTAGGAAGCATGTTATGTGGAATTTTTCCTGATACACCAAGAAGCAGTGCTGCCCGGATTATTCCGAGGACCGGAAATTTCAGGAAGCAAGAAATTGATGTAAAAGCAATGTAAAAGCGTGTGTGCTCGTGTTATGACTCGACCCAGAATTGAACTGGGATTCTCCTGCTTTATTTTGATTAGAACCGAGTATGGAAAGCAGGTGCAGACTCCCGTCCGCCACCGAGTCGTTATATGCATGGATTCGCATGCTCGGATTGTTCCAGTCAAGTTCCAGTTCTTCATCTTGTCAATCAAAACCGGCATTCCGAGGTTGAAGTGAGACATCAGGAAAAAGTCAAATTGCTATGGGCTTCCACATAGACACCCATAGACGCCATAGAGGCTATAGCGGCCATAGCAACGTTGCTATGGCGTCTATGAGTGTCTATGGAGGTCTATGTAGGTGCCTATAGAGCCCATAGCAATTTGGGATTTTCCTGATGGATCAAAGTGAGATTCAGAATCTGCGATGGATGGCATCTTAGAATCTTCGATAAACCAAATATAAAAGAAATTCCAGGCTCAACTCTGGAATGCGTTGAATATTCTGAACCTATCCTCTCATCTAGCTCCGTTTCGGGAGAAATATTGGGAACATTTCGTGATGCACCCACGCCGAGAAGCCGTGCCGTCTAGATTATCTCTGACCGGCTCAGCTCATTTAAAAGATCAACCCAACCACCCAACCCGGAAATTTCACAAGCAAGAAAGTTATGTAAAAAAATGGGACGTTTTATGACTCGACCCAGAATCGAACTGGAATTCTCCTGCTTTATTGAGCTACAACAACAAGGCAGGCCATCCTTTCAATCTTAACCAGAGGTGATTCAGAATCTGCAATGGATGCTCCCTGAACTATCGTATGCGTAAGCCTATAATGTAGGAATCACACCGCGTTGAAGCCTAGGGTTGGAAAATTAAAGCGCGAGACCGTGGGAGGCGAAAGCGGAGTTTGCCGAGTTGAACGTTGAACGTTGAACGCTTTCGCGGTTCAAATTGCTGCGAAAAAGAGGAAAAGCGAAATTCAAACGGTTGAAATACATGTACACCAACTACTCGTCGTCTTACAAAAAGTCATATTACACAATGATCCCCATCCTTTCACAACTCTCCCGTATCGGCGATATCTGAGACCCTGAATTCGAATTCGAATAATTAGACCCGACTCCCGTAAAAAAAAATGCAAATAATACATACGAAGCAGCGGAAACGTCATCTCAAACGCCGATATCGCAACCACCGCCCTTGAAAGAAACGCCCGCAGATTCAACTCTTCTTCTCGCGGCGGCCCGCGATGCAGCGCTTTCAGCGCATGAATCTCTTCCAGAAAGACTCCACAGGCGGACGCCCACACCGTCTAGATTCGCGGGTACAATGTGAGCAACTTGAATAATTGACCGGTTCATATGAGAGGGAAGGACGCACTCCCATGATCGGATTGATGTATCTGAAATGCCGCGATGGGACAGCGGCTATAATCCCCAAGACTATGAAAAATTAGAGTATGTACATCAGTGTGAGAGATCCGAATGTCCCACATACCTAATCGTGCAGCCGCAAGCCGCCTGCGCTTCGCCAATATATCCGTGTGGGCGAACAAACTCAAAAGCCGCACCGTAGCTGAATGCGCGATACTGTGCGCAACGACAAGAGTTCTCGTCATCGCAGGCGTCGGCCGCGATATTTGGTTTGGTGGTACCAGTGATTCCCGAAAACGGCCTATTAGCCCATCCAGACGCGTGAAATTGTTGTTGAATGAGGCGGCTTCCGTGCCAGACATGCCTGGGTGAGAACATAACATCAAGTTCGAGTTTATTTAAAGAGTGGAGTAGTACATACCTGGCTTCCACGACCGCGCGAGTTCATCGGCCTGCAACCTCAGAATCGACGCTTTCGCGAGCATAGCGACAGTCGACATTCCGGTGTCGAACGTCGGCACGCCGTTGACAAAATTCTGGATCGTGTGGCTGTAACGAGCCGTTTCGGCAAGAAGGCCCTACGGATTTCAGGTTAGCATACCGACCAGAACGCCGCAAATGAAAAACCCCACCTCCGCGTAGTCCTCGCATTCAAGCGGCCATGGGGTATCTACCACAAATAGACTATCTCGATGTGCGATCCCCGGCGTCTCGCACAGCCCTACCGCAAACGCCGAATCCAAGATTATTATCGCCCACCACGCATGTATGCGCTCCCCTTCTTCTACCGCATCAGCAGGAGGGTGCAATATCCCAGGCGGCGGGTGGTTTTCCGAGCGGATTAAATGCAGAGACGAGCTGAGACTAAGCGAGATGGCACCAGCGGCATGATATTTTCCCTTCAGCGCACCTGCATTCAGCACGAGCAGCTCGCGTGGGGAAACCAATGCCTCACCTCTAATGCGCGACCCGACGCGAAAAAGAAATACGACAGCAACACCTCGGCCTGCAGCGTGTGCATAATCTTATGTGGGTGGGTATCCGATAGGCCTTTGCTGGTGAGATTCAACGCGCGCGCGAGGAATGCTGGTTCTTGTGCCATCAAGTCCGGTTCGCCCGACAGACGCAGACCCCACAGGTATACCGTAGAAAGAAGTGCGGGTGATGGGCGGGAGGGGTGTCCCATTGGGAATGGCATTAACGCAGATTGACGAAAACGCGAGCAGTCGAGGAAAAATCCGAATTCAGATGAGTACGGTAGAAAGTTGTCGATTCTGTTTAAAGTCAGGTCAGTTCGCAAATCCGGTTTCTGTTGTTGAAAGCGTACAGTTGCACGACCAAATCTCTGGGAGGCTCGCTCGGCGCTATCCATAGTTCTACGCGTTCTTAGTTTCTGGGAGGCAGGAAAAGAAAGAAAACACACGCGTAGGCGTAGCAGATCGGCTAGTGGAAGGATGACCTGGAATATTTCCAAGTCCAAATTTTGAATGTTGCGAACATCAAGAAAACTCACGCGTAGGCCGAGGGGTAGTTGATTGAGATTGGCCTGCGGAGGCGTGATATGGTTGCTGAAGCGGGAAAGTATGTTCGGCCCTCGGCTTATGCGGGTGTTCAAGGTAGTGGATGCGATTCTCTAAGCGGTCGATATCTTCTTGTAGAATGTGAGTGATGTTGCGCTTCCCCCTGTCGGCGTATTCGCAGTCATCTTCAATATTCAAGTGGGTACATTGACTGCATGGTAGGTTTCCATCGCATTTCTATGTCCGCTAAAATGAGCGACCAGCGGAGGATTATAGAGACATGAACCTGGCCGTACTCTTTTGCGTCTTTTGCAACTGAAGCATGCTTGTCCTCGAGGAAGCTTGCTATTATCAGGAGGTTGTTTTGATGTGGACGCCATAATGAAAGGGTGAGGAATCGCAGACGTCGTGGTGCTTCATATTAAGGAGTTCACCTACCTACGGTGTAACCTACCAGTCGTCCATCAACTTTTCTCCGTTGCGGCTACTCCGGGTTTCGCTTAGTGCGATGAACCAGAATGATGCTGACGTCAACGCAAATCTTTTCGCGAAAATCCCGTCGACCACTGCAGTGACTGCACAGAAATTCCGCTTAGTGATTGAGGGGAGATCACACCGCCCTTCGTCGAGGGAAGTGAGCCAGAGTCACCTGGATCCAGAGTACAATCCAAGAAAACCTCAAGCTCCTGGCGTCCTCTCCCCAGCGTGACCACAAACAGGCTTGTTAGATCCGTTGCAGGCGTTACCGTCTCAGTCGGTAACCTGTAAACATGTTGCTAATGGGCAAGGACCCAGAGACGGCGTCTGGGAGCAGCAGGACTCCAGGAGGCCTCTTGCGCGGTGACGCGGTTAAACGGATGGATGTGGCGGCAGTGAGCGGCAGTGCTCACAACGGTTGTTGACCGTTGTGTTGTGCGAAGATTCACAATGGCTCGGATCACGGCATCAGTATTGATCGGCGATCTCGAGAGAATAAAATATTCAAACATTGTGGCGTAGGACAAGAAAAAATCAGCGAAGGACTCGAGGGCATCCATTGCGTTATTTCTATGAGCGTGCAAGGAAGGAAAAATAAACCCATTTCTTCGGATGCTGCAGTTGACTCGGGCAGTGCCTCGGCAAGCTCCGGATCTACGTTGTTATCAGGTTACATGCCTTGAAGACCAGTACATAAATTAATTTTGTCATACCGCCTATGTATGAGAGCCACTGCCACAGATCAGCCCAGATCATCGCCGTAGTCGGTCCCGACGGTGATTAATCTCGTCGTCCAACCATCCGACCCGGAGTTGAACCATGACAACAAGTTACAACTGGACAGTGGATTCACCGTTAACTCACTGGAGAAGAGAAGAAAGTCACCCATAGGACTAAGGATATCAAGGTTTCCAAAGTTCTCCATCCTATAGGCTATAGACTCAACCGAGTTCGGATCTATTGTAGCTGTGGTCCTGTGGTAGTCATATCTGAAAGCTTACTGGGTATGTGACAGCAACGCAAGAAAAACAATTGTCGCAGGTGGCTTGCGTACGAAGCAATTGGTGCTGTGACCAAGTTGAAAGCCGTTCAGACTTTCTGGAAAGTGAGTCACATTTTTCTCAGGCTGTTCAACCAACAATCTCTTACCCTGACATAGTGACAGGCTTGAACGTCAACGTTAGATGGAAATTGTCATGGCTTTGTGTTCAACTTTTGAATTCTAGTTAAATCTTGAACATTAGATGGAAATTACCATGGCTTGCACGTACACGATTTGATGCTCGATCACTTTGCAGATGCACAGTGCACTACACTCTACATACACAACCGGAAAAAGGGCTCGTTTCTCCAGGTATTCCATCACTTACTGACATCAGAAGCAAAGTCAACTGTTGAACCGCACAGTCCAAGTCAAGTCCTCGACTGTCGGGAGCGAAAACAAATGAATTCGTGCAAGGTTGTATGTACAAGAGCGGAGCCCTAAGTTTCAAGCGGAGATTGGAAATCTTCAACTTAGGTCCGTTCCTCATTTTGCCCTTGTCGAGTCGACGATCCGTACTGTATAACTGAATATGCACAGGTAATTGAGTCCCGAAAGCAAGTGTCTGCGCGCGTTCTCAATGCTTCTCATTGGAACATTCCCGAAACACAAGTGCCGCATCAAAATGATGTGGCGGGAACTGTGGGTGATGCGCATCAGCGATCATGATCTGCCGTGGGTCACCCACGTCCTCTTCCGCGCATTTCGACCCCACCCAAAGAAATGGAGG